CACATTATGAGCAAGGTTGAGCATCTTTTGATATGTTTAAAAGGCTATTTGCATTTCTTTATGAATCTGGATTTTATTTTTATTAAAAAAATGTTTTTAACGTTTATTTATTTTTGAGAGATAAAGCACAAGCAGGGGAGGGGCAGAGAGAGGGAGACACAGAATCCGAAGCAGGCTCTAGGCTGCAAGCTGTCAGCAGAGAGCCCGACCCGGGGCTCCAACCCACGAACCATGAGACGATGACCTGAGCTGAGGTTGGACGCTTAGCCGACTGAGCCACCCAGGTGCCCCGATCGGGTTTTTATTTTTAGAAACTATATATTAACCATTTGCATAATACAAGTCCCAATATATTTTTCCAGCTTGTAATTTATATTTTTACTTTGCTAATGGTGGCTTTTCCCCCGATGTACAAGTTTTTTTGTTTTTAATTTCAACGTAGTCAAATTTATCACTCTTCTCCCGTGCTGTATCTGGATTTTGAATGAGGAGGGTTTTCCTCATTCCCGGGTTCACAGTAATCCCCTCATTTTCCATTTTCTTCTAGTTCTTGGATGGTTTCCTTCTTCCAGGAGCTCCAGCTCCACTTGGTGAAGGTCCATTTTTCCCTCTTGGTTGGTGATGCCCCCATTATGGTGCCCCGAGTTTCCACAGGCACTTGGACCTGCTTCTGGATTTTCAGTTCTGTTTCGTTGGTCTATGTATACAAGGGTCAGCTCTCCCCACTCAACCCAAACCATTCTTCATTTTCAGCATTTTCCTGTCCCCCCCCCCCCGCCCCCCACTCTGGCTTGTTTTTCCAAATGATTTTGGTAATAAGAACAGTGTCTAATGACAAAGGCAAATGTCCAGGAAAGAATGTTAAGGGAAACCGCAGTCAACAGAACCACACAGCATGTATACATACTTTCTTCCTCTCCTGTAAGATCTTGTAAGAGAAAAAAAAAAAAAACAAACCAAAATGTTTGCGTGGTCACATGCAGCATCGCCTCACTGCCAGCACAAACCTTTGGTGGAGGGAAGGGTGCCTCTTGTCCCTTCTTCCTCACTTCCTCCTGTGCCACTCTGGAGATCTTGTCACCCCTCTGGGCCATGGCACTTCTTTATAAGAGAGGGAGTGCATCACTGCGGGGTGGAACCTGGGGTGTGGCCTCTGCCACCTATGGCTGGACAGAGCATCTTTGGCTGATCCCCAGACCAGCCAGTCCCTTCCAGCCTAGATCTGGAAGGAAAGACCCTGCCGGAGCAGGCTGCAAAGGGACTTGAGGGGACTGGAAGAGGGCGGAGGGGCCACCTCCGAGGGAGGGGACAGCCCTGAGGCGCCCCGCCCCGCCCACAGCCCTCACAATGGCAGCTGGCCCAGTATTACAAGCCCGCCGGCAGGAGGCTAGCAACGGCCTGGAAGCCGGGCGGGCGGCGGCTTCCTCCAGGGACAGGTCGCTTTGTCTGCAGACCTACTTACAGCAACCCCCGTGGCAGAGGACTGGTTTCCTGGGGGATGGAAAAGCTCCGCGGGGCCGGGCGGTCTCGAGCTGGAGACGCGCGGGGAGCAGCAGTGCGGCCGGGGGCTAGGGCAGCCTGCTCCGCCCGGGCGCCCAGGTGCTGCAGGGTCCTGCGGCCAGGCTTCCAGGAGATGGAATACTCTGTGAGCACCGAGCAGCTGCTCCTCTTCTTCCTGGCTATCTGGTTCTTCTACTTCTTCTAAGTGGCCCTCCCTCCCGTTGTCCCTGGGGCTGGCGGGCCACAGCAGGAGCGAGCTGGCCCAGTCCCTGTTCAAGGGCGCAGAGTGGCCAAGGGCTGGGGCCTCAGCCCCACAGGGAGGACAGCCAGGACGCAAGGCCGCACTGCCCCTTGGAGATGAATATCTGGGGCCCAGGGGCCCAGGGCTGCGCACCACAAACGGGCTTGGCGTCAAGTAAATGATACAGGAAAGGGGAAGACGGGCGCCCCACAGAACCTGCGGTCTGCGAGGGGGCAGCGGGCCTCATCAAGGCTTTGCGGTCCTGCATCTACTAGAGTCCGAGTCAACTCCGTGTTTACTGGTTAGCTGCTTTGTGCCTGGCCCCTGGCTCTGCTGAGAAATAAACTGCCCTCTGAGCCTGGTTGGCGGCAGGTGAGATGTTATTCCCGTTTTCTAGGGGCGAGGAACTGCCCAGCTGGCCGTGCCTAGTGCCGTTTCTGGCAAGGCTGGTGAAAGACAAATGTCCTTTTGGGGGGCGCTTTAGAGTAAGATAAAGGGGCACCTGGCTGGTTCAGCCGATAGAGCATGTGACTCTGGATCGTGGGGTCGTGACTTCAAGCCCCGTGTTGGGTGTAGAGCTTAAAAAAACAAGATAAAAATGAATGCATCTCCAAGGATGTGGGTGTGGCTCCACCTGGTCACAGGACAGGAACTGTCCACCCCAGCAGCTCCCATGGCTGGTTTCCTACCAGAGCCTCCTGGGGCGCAGAAGCTCTTTTCAAATGCAGATCACCAGGCCCCTCCGCTAGAGGGAGAAAACTCTGCCCCCATCTGGATGTGCCTTATGTAGACCCCACCCGGGAAGGGGCTTCCTCTGGCTCCCTGGGGTGGGGCTCACAGGACGCCCCCCAGAGAGAAGGGCTCCTGAGTAATGAACCTGCTTCAGGTTGGCTGCTCCCCTGAGGCCACCACAGGCTGAGGGCAGCCATCCCCCCACCCCCAGCAGTGCTTTTGCTCCGAATGCTGGGGCTTTTCTTAGAACACAAGCAAGGAGGGTAAGGCCAGGCCATTTGAAGCCAAAGAGCAGCTCAGAGGAAAGGCCAGCAGTGCAGACTCTGAAGTCTCAGGTGAGGCTGTGTCAAGGGAAGGAATTTCCTTTGAGGAGCACAAATACCCCCGGAATCCCTAACCCCACCCCCAGATCTCTAAATTCCCGGGACTCAAGAATCTGAGTTTTTAATCAGCTCCCTCCTTCCCGGGGTCACTCCCTGGGGTCCCCCTGGAGCATGAGCTGCAGGCCTGTGGGAGGGGAGGGGAGCAGGTGGCTGGGATTTCTGGGCAGCTTATGGCCCTGAGGACTCAAGGTGAACTCCCTCCTGACATCCTCCAGGGCACGGGGAACAGCCTGGTGCATTTTCTCACTGCAGTCCTTCCAGGGAGTAGAACCTCTTCCACACAGTAAACAGTTGTAGGAATACATACGTTCCCTCTGGGACGCCACAGAACTGAATTTTGAATGAAAACAATGCAGCCTATAAACAAGCACTTTTCCCAGAATGGGCCCCGTGCAGAAAAGCTCTGTTCTCAGAGGGCAGTGCACAGGCTCTGCCAAGATGAGGGAAGCGTGTGCCACACCGGCCCAAGGGAGGGTGCCCAACCCACCCTGCGTGCACACCCACGTGCAAACCCTCACACATGCCAAGCATCGAAAACATGACTTCTCGCCCCTTCAGGCCATTGACCTGAATTGCAGCCAGACGGGGTTGCACTGACTGCTCGAGGCTGCCCTATGATGGTCCCACTTTGTGTGGGTGCCGGTGGGGACAGGAGTATGACGACACTGACAGGCACTCTGTCAGGAGGAAGTCCACAGAGGACAGACGTCAACCATCGCTTTATTAAGGCTCAGAGTCGTCTGCCAGTCGGGGGCTGAGTCACTCACCGCAGACTCCAGCCACGGAACACTCTAGGTGACCCCACGGGCGGAGGCTGTCCTTGAGCTCTCAAGCCATGGTCTCTCATGCTCCACTCGGGTCCATCCTGCAGGGCTGGGGTGTGTGTGCAGACAACTCAGGGGGCCCTTGGCAGGGTGGGGCTGGCTCTAACAGGCCCTGGGCTCTGGCAGGGGGGTGGCAGGGAGGCACAGGAGGGCAGGGATACATCCCCTATCCCTCCCAGCCCAAACTATGGCTTTGTTACCCTATTGCCACTTGAGCAGGAGTGGAGCGCCCCTCCCCTGTGCTCTGGCCCGGGTGCTACACTCTGGAAGGAGGCAAAGGGAAAGCCCCTGGGGAGGAAAGGGCCCCTCTGTGCTTGGGATTTGGCCTGACTTCAGGGGATCGTGCCCCCCAACCCCACACACACACTCCCTCAGCTCCTCCCATCGACAGGTCTTCTCAGGTTGGGGCCGGTCACTCAGAAGTGGACACGCAGCACGTCCTGGCTGGCAAATGGCCTCTGGCAGGCTGTGCACGTCATGGGCAGGGAGCGCTGCTTCTCACCCAGGCAGGGCCGGCATAGGAGGTGGCCACAGGGGAGCTGGTACACAGGCTCCTTTTTGAAGTAGGGAGAAAACGCTCTTTTGCAGGAGGCACACTCGGGCCCCGGGATGCTCCCAGGCTGCTCTGGTAGATCAGGGAGGAAAATAGGCCAAGGTGAGGCGAAAGCTGTCCCCTGGTCCAGGCTCCGTCCTGATGGCAGGGCATGAGCCTGAAGTGGGACAAGAAGCTTCCCCACCCTCCACCCCTTCAGCGGCATGGCTTTATCCCTCCTGGGGCCACTTCTGGCTGCTCTGGGAGGAGAGGGTGTTGGGGAGCCAGGACACCTGGGAGACCTCCCCTCAATCATCAAATCTTGGTGCTCCAGTGAGTGCCCAAGAAAAGCTGGCTTCTGAAGGCAAGCGGACCGCACTGAGCCCTCCCTCCCAGTCTCTGAGCAGGATTTGCTTCCCCCTGGAACAGGCTGCTACGGTCAGAGTGAGGCACAAGCTCATCCTGATAACATAAACTACAAGAAAGGCAAGACGACTCAAGAAAGGAGACAGCAGACAGTGAGCAGGTGTAGCAGGGCTGGGCAGGTCCAAGGAGGAGGGAAGGCACCACGTGGGCAGGCCTGAGGTCTGAGTTACCCACTGAGCCTGGCACCTGCTTCTTCTCTTCAGCCTGGCAGCCCCTCCTGACCTGTCAATCCCCTTCCTGTGCGGCAGGCTCCCTCTTTCCCTGCTTCCCGCAGGGCCTCCCTGAATGAGGGCCGCAGTGGCCACGTCCTGCCACTGCCTCCCCAAGCTGCACCTGCTGCGCTTCCTTCTCTTGTGGCCCTAGCCTAAGGAGGCTGCTTTGTCCCCACTCCACACCCCTCTGGAGAGGGCAAGGGTGGTCTCTTAGGGGAAAAAAAGAGGCCGACCATGCAGAATGAGAGGGACAGCAAGTACAAAGAATGGTTGGTCCAAAACCAAACCAAAGCAAAAAAAAAAAAAAAAAGGAATGGCTGGTCCATTAAAGAAAGACAGGACACAGAGCTGTGATGGCGGAGACTGGCTTCAGGTGAGGCTACAAAGGGGGCAGGCTGGGGTGCGCAGGACTTCACCAGTGGCAGGGGCTTAGACTTTGTTCCAGGATCAGTGGGATGCCCTGGGAGGAGTCTAAGAAGTGAAGTGCCATGCGCTGGTGGACATTACAGGTGAGAGTGGCTGTGCGGGAGCAGCAGGGCTGCTGAAAGAGACAGGGAGGGGCTGGGGAGGGGACGGCACAGGGGACAGGGTGGCAGCAGAGTGCTCGGAGATCCCCTTTGGAAGAGTACGTACAGGACTTGAGGATGAATGGATGTCAGGAAGGCTGAAGGACACCAAGGACAATCTCCACGTTACAGGCCTGACCCAAGAGAAGATGCTGCTCTTTACTAGCAATGGGGTGATGGGGCGTGTCTGCAGTTCTGAGTTAGAACTTCACTCAACATCTATCCAGGGGTTTCCCACGTGGAGGTGCCAGGCAGCTGTCAGGGAGGTCAGGGTCTGAGTTCCAAGGAGAGGAAGGAGCCACAGGGGGGAGCATGGGCAGTCACTGGCCAGTGGGTTCTCTCTGGGATGGCAGGGCAGAGAAGAGTTTGCAGGACCAGAGTCTGGAAGAGGAGTCCGAAGTGGAAATTGCAAAGGGACAGTGAAAAGAGGGAGAAAAAGAGCACAGGATCCGAAAGGCCAGGAGAGAAGGGGTTTCAGGAAGGAGGGGCTGGCAAGCCACATCAGACACTGCTGGGAGGGGAAGGGAGAGCAACCACTGCATCTGGAGCCATGGAAACCACCGGTCACCTGGACGAGAAGGTTCTTGGTGATGGTCAGGATGGAAACAAGAGAAACAGGGAGGTGTGGATGAGAAGAAGAAGAGGTAAGAATGGCCTGGCTCTGGATGGGCAACAAGAATCGAGCATACACCTTATCACGGGCTCCTTCAGGCTTCATCTTGTAAAAATTGCCTAGCATTCCAGCATGTTCTCTCACCTTGTATCCTAACTGATTCTATCATCTAATGTGGTCCCAGGTTCACTGTGGGCAAAAACTGCCTCAGTCAAAAGCTGCTACAGCTCTATTCTAAACACCAGTGAAACTGTTAACAGGAAGGGACGAAGGAGACAACCCCCAAGCTTCTCTCCACACTTCCTTAAAATAAACTGCCCAGCTGTCAGATGGGAGACAGACTGGATCTGAAAACTAACCAAAGGAGGGGAAACAAAAGTCCAGGACAGAACAATTAATATTAGATCTTACCAAAAACACTGCAGAGTTGCCAAGCCCTAAAAGTCCACAGAATTACCAAGAGTTAACTAGAGAAAGCTCTCCTTGTGAAGAGTTAAACTTCACAGGAGCCCCTCAGCTCCCCCTGGAAAAGGAAAGAGACAGAGTTCTCCCTGAGGCCCGGATGCTGGCTGCTGGCGCTAAGGAGGTTGGGCATGGCAGTCCCAGGAGCCCCAGAGGCAGGGCCCAGGCTTCTGCTCCCGGGCTCTGGCGAGACGGATGGGGCCCCAGTTACCCGAGGCGGCGCCTGGCCTCCAGGAGGCGCTGCTCTCTCTTGTGCCGAGCTGTTGGAGCTGTCCCCGGGTCAGCCGAGCCGTGAAGGAGGGCATGGAGCCAAGAGTCGATGTCAAGGCAACTTCCAAGCTCTGTGACAGCTTCTGCTCATGGGACACGGGACCTGACAAGAGATGCACAGACCACGATATCCAGAGAGAGGTTCAGCAAAAAAGACCAAGCAATAAGTCCTTGGAGGACCACAAGAACGGTACTTCTAACTTCAAATGGACGCAGATGTAAAGAAACTCCTCCCTGACGTCTGCTAGTGGATTGTGATGATGGAGTACCAGCCGTCAAAGCCTTGGGGACGTTCCTACCCATCCCACACCACTTTCAGGGTTTCTGGGCCAGCTCTAGCTTTCCTCCTCCTGGAAAGATTTCTGGGCAGGCCTGGGCCACCTTGTGGCTCATTTGCAGAACTGCACCCTACTTTCAGAAGGTCTCCTTGCAGGCCAAGGAGGTGCCCACCATTGTGCCCCAGCTCCCTGTCCATTCCCTCGCCAGCAGCTTTTCCTCATCTCCTCTCTTCTGGGGCCCCCACCCTCCCCACTCTGCGGGTTTGCTGGCCTGCACTCTCTGGGCATTTGCGTCCTCTCTCTCCTGCTGAGTAAAGCAAAGTGGTCATTACCAAGTAGAATGACAAAGACCTCACTCTGCCCACTCCACTATCTAAGGGACCTTCTCTGTGTGGTTCACAGAAAGCCAAGCAGTAGGCTGAGGGTGAAGGCAATGGGAGAGTGAGACAGTTGTCTAAGAAAGAACCCAGAGACCTGCCTGGTATCAGGGTTCACAAAACTGCCCCAAAGTAGGGAGTAGAACATTTTGTCTACAGTGTGCAGGACTTGCTTGGGGCCTTGAAGCACAGGTCAGCATGGTCGTATATCACCAACAAACCTGACCTTACAGACATCAGGGTCTAAGGACCTTTCTTTGTCTCACCCCACTGCACCTCAGATGCTTCCAGGAGTTTCCAGGGGTCATGTTGACTAAAATCTATACTCAAAACCAGAGAAGACACAGATGTAACCTTTAAGTGCACTATTTGCATAGGGCTTTTACAGTAAGAGAGGATATTACAAGAATGATAAAATCTAAACAGATTTATTTTCATAAGGAAAAAGAAAGTGTCAAAGAGTTATCTCCAAAAGCACCAGGCACTAACAATCACGGGCAAATTCTACCAAATATGGAAAGAGGAAATTATTCTAATACTCTTACATTGTTCTAAAGTTGAGTACAGGAAAATGTCTTAATTCTTCTTATGGAGCACACAAATCTTTGGTAACAAAACATGACCAGAGATGGTATGTGTATATGACAGTTCAAATTATTTATCCAAAATAAAACGCTAGCAAACAGAACCAAGCAGAACATTAAAAGAAGCATGACCAAATGAAGTTTATTCCAGGAATGTAATAACGGTTGAATATTAAGAAGCCTATTAATGTATTTTTTCACACTAAAAGATCTAAGGATGAAAAATCATAGTACCATCTCCACTGATATTGAAAAGGCATTAGACAAAATTCAACCACCAATCTTAGATAAAAACACTGAATTAAAAACATTTAAAAACATGACTGAATAAAATAGGAATCAAAGGTGTGGGAGAGTGTCTGAAATGGCTCCCAATGAGACCCACCTCCAGAGACTCATGCTGTAGGGTACCCCCTTCCCCTTGAGTGTGGGCCAGACTTAGTGACTTTCTTCTAACAGAATAAAGCAAAAATGAAGGGATGCCACTTCCACAATTAGGTAATATAAGACTATGACTTCCATCTTGTGCTTACACAGCTACCGTGTTATGTGCTGCCCTTGAGAGGCCCATGTGGCAAGGAACTGAGGACAGACTGAGTCTGCTGGCCACCAGCCAAGACCAGCCAACAGGGAAGAGAGGCCCTCGGAACAATAGTTCGGCCAGGAACCGAATCCTGTAACAATCACAGGAATGAGCTTACAAGTGAATCCTTCCCCAGTCAAGCCATGAAGCGGCTGCAGCCCCAGCCAACACTTTGACAGCAGCTGGAGAAGACCCCGCAGCAGGTGACCCAGCCGAACTATCCTGGCTTCCTGACCAGAGAAGCTATGAGATAATGAATGTGTGGTGCTTTAAGCCAGTAAGTTTTGGGATAACTTAAGACGGCAAAACATAAAGCACAGGGCAATAGTGCCACGTGTCACCTGGGAAGCACAGGGAGGGCAGCGGACATGGAAGCAGGGCATGGATTACCTGTTGAGCAGTCCATATGTGTCAGCCCAAGTTCACTGGCAGCTTTCATTTTCTTAGCGGTGTGCTCTGAGGTAGTGGGTGAGACCAGAAGGCTTGTGGTAGAAAAACAGGAAGCGTTTGCCCCAAGGCTACTGTCCGGGGCATATTCAGTCTGCTCCATCTTCCTTTTCCGAGAGGGCAGAGCAATGGAAGAAGGTGTCACTGCCAATGCAGTCTGTGCTCTCCCAAGCAGATGGCAGCCCGGAATGGAGTGCTGGAGCAGGAAATGGTCGATCCGGGCCTTCAGGGAGGGGTGAGGCAGGGGCTGGGAGTGTGGAGTAAAGGCTACCCCCGTGAAAGGGTCACTGGGCACTCGGCCCCAGGCGGCTTCGCTGCGGTTACACTTTTCCAGCGTGCTCTGGTCGATGACCTTGCCTGAAGGCAGCAGCATGGGGCAAGGCATGATCTCCAGGGTGATGGGATCCAGGAACTCCTCAGGCACATCCTGAATCACCTCGGCTAGCTCCTGCAGGCTGGAGGGGGCCTGCTGGCCCTCAGACAGGCTTCCGGGATCACAGTCACTCTCCATGGGCAAGGCTGGGGCCTGCAGAGTCAAGTCCTGAGGGAGGCTCTCTGAGGCAACCAGCAGGACACTGTCTATCACCTCCTGAGAGCAGGTTTTAGCTGGCTGACCCCACACTTCCAATCGCTTGATGCAAGGGATACCGCTGCCTGTCACGTGGGTGATACAGATCTTGAGATGGACCACATGGCTAAGGGAAAGAGCCCCTTTATTCCAGAGCTCCTGTGCCACAACAGCAGGAGAGGGGAGTGTGGCGTCCATTGGGCCAAAAGGTGGCCTGGCCTTGAAGCCCCTGTGACTAAACACCACTTGGCTCTGGTTTTTCAATAAGACTTTGCCTACTAAGGTGAACGCCTCCTTGTCTGGGATGGACGGCTCGGCGGGGCCCGGGGTCCGACACTCGGGGGCATTCCAAGATGCTCTGCTGGATAAGGCAGATGTGTACATTTCCAGGCCGGTGACATTCTGGCCTCCCCCAGCTGTGAGGTCTATGTTAATCCTACAGATTTCCACACTGAAGGGAAAGGAAACTATCACGTAGACTGGTGGCTTAATGAAATACTCTGTCCTAAAACCATGACTTCTCTTTGTCAGGTCTTCAGAGATGAGATTTTCTACTTCATAACCATCAGCTGATATCTAGAGTTAATGACAAATAAGACACGCATTCACTTGATGAGATCCAAATGAAGACACCTAGATTTCAAGAATTTGCTACTTTTTAGACAATTATTTAAAGAAAGTCTTAAGTTCCTCATTTAAACTTTCCTCTATTATACTGAATTCACCAGGGTTTTTTTGCGGGGAGGCACTCAAGGTTATCAGGTCAAGGGTTGAGGGCAACCGTGTCCCCAAGTACTGCCCATCCTTGAAAAATACAAGCAACAGAAGTCTGCTCAATCCAAACAAAAATCCCTTCAAAATAATGTCTGTGAGAAAAAAGTACAGCTATACTAGTGTTTTTTTATTGTAGAGGATGAAACCACAGAGATTTAGGGGAAAACAAAGATGTTCGTTACAGTTCTTAATTTTGTATTTGGACTCTATCAGTTATTAAATTTCCATAGCAATCTTCTTGTGGACAATCTTCTTGTGAATCTATGACTGAGGGAACTTGGTCAAAAACAAAAGTGTGGGGGCACCTGGGTGGTTCAGTCAGTTAAGCATCTGACTCTTGATATCAGTTCAAGTCATGATCTCATTGACATGAGATCGAGCCCCACATCAGGCTCTACACCGAGCATGGAGCCTGCTTGGGATTCTCTCTCTTCTCTCTCTGCCCATCCCCTGCTCATGCTTTCTCTCTTTCTCAAAATAAATAAACATTAAAAAAAAAAAAAAGTGTGTTCACCAACAAGGACCACAAAAGACTACACGAAATCTAGAGCAGTGAATATGCTAGGGGGTGGGATTGTGAGTAACTTCTCCTCCTCTTAATATTCCTAATATTTGTTATAACCAGTGGAAATTTTAAGATACAGGTATGCCTCCCTCTTTCTGAAAGTTCCTATCACACCACTTTGCTTTTACATAAGACCTATATTAGCACCTGTATTTGCTAACCAAAAGAAATCCAAAGAGAATTTTTACTTTTACGAAAACATGTTTTGGTATCACACTAATGTAGATCTCTTGTAAATGAACTTCCGGAAGGCAGTGGATATTCATTTTACGCCATTTCAGCCTGCGAAAGGTTTCATAAGAATGTTCTTTTCAGATGGCGGAGGAAGCCTGTGTCTCTGTTCAAAGACATCAGGCTAGCAATCTGGGAATCTGAAACAGCATGCTGTGTGCAGAAGCTCAAAATTAAAGGACGGCTCAATTCTCTTTTTGCAGTTTCCTTACTCCTTGCTCTGGGCTGTGGAAAGATAACCTCCTTTGCACAAAAGGCAAAGCAACTTAGTTCAAATAAAGAAGAAGGAATCCAAATAACAAATACAAGTCATTATTTCTAGCATGAGAAGTAAGCGAGAGGAATACTGGGGGAGACAGTATTTCTACCTTCGCTGTGACTTTGAGTAGAATTAAATTTTATCATCAGAGGGAGGAGCACAATGAACACGACCCTCCAGAAAATGAGCCACAGCTCCCCTTGTAACAGTGCTGCATGATTCTAGGGGTACATCCTGGCCAATGCTTACCTAAATATCACCTGGTGGGATTTAAAACAGTGAAGGTGAAAGCACATTACACCTAAATTAAGTCCACATACACAAGGCAAGACATGGGGAAAAGCATGAAAAATAGCCATTGCATATTTATGTGCATATACTTGTTTTGTTTACCTTGTTGCAGTAAATTCTTGGTCTGAACTGTGGGAGGCAAAGATTTATGACCATCTTTGTGGCTGAAAGGGTAGCTTCCAAGCATCAGAAATAGCCTTGAATAAAAAATAAAGCTTGATATTAGACATGTCAAAGTTCAATTCTAAACTTTTAGGAGTTGATTCCTACGGGAAGAGAATCAAACAGGGTAACAAAGACTCTGACGCACACGGCCATGGTCTATACAGTCTCACTGTATCGTACCTGTGATGCCGGGGAAAAGGAGTCACCAAAAAATTGCACAGGAGCTTCTTTTTTTTTTTT